TTATTAATATTTTTGCAAAATAAAAAAGAGGGTAATTATAATTTAAAAGAATATATTTTGGTGGCAAAATGCACGCTTGCATGCACGTGGGATCTGTATAAAATAATAGAGAGCAAGGCTTGAAAGGCAGCAGCAACCCCATCATGATTTTCTTTGACTTTTCGCCTCCTCTTTTTCCTCCAACCACATTTATCTAGAACCTTTAAATTCTTAATTACCTTTTATTTATATATATATTATTTATTAAACACGAAAACAAAATTAAAAGTTTTAAGAAAATATTGAGTTATAATAAATATTAAGCTTTTAAGATTAGGTTTATAATAAATATTAAGCTTTTAAGATTAGGTTTATTTAATATTAATAGTTTAGACTACTAAAATTGTTTCTTAAAAGTTTAAATTTAATTTTGAATATGTACCTACCACCATTAATTGTATCAATGCTTTTGTCACCAAATATTTAAATGTGCATGGAATTATCAGTCTACCACATAATTAATAAACTATTATATTGATTGGATTACACGAGCATTCAACCTGGAAAGCCTTAATAAAAACAAAATTAAAAGTTTAGTCAATTATCAATTATTAGAAAAATATAAATTAAGTCACAATAAGTCAAATATCTATTTTTTAGGAATTTTTTTAACTAATTTTTAATTCAAGAAAATGATATCAATTTAATGCGTGGTGTAATGAGATTCAAACATACACATAGGATGGTCAAGGATTTCTAAATATTAAAAATAAATAAATAAAGAGATCCGATCTAATTGGTCAATTTATTATATATTTATATTCCCATTAAACTAATTAGCCTTTCCTCTTAAAGGTTTTTTTTTCTTCTTTTTTTTCTTAATTTAAAATACCACCTATTAGCTACGTAGGGTTGAATATTACCCTATAGGACGACCCGATGCAAATTAAAAAAAGAAACCCTAAATTTCTTATTTCTTTTCCACACTTTCTCTGTTGGGTAGTTGACATTGTTTGATTATGACAACGTAAACTCGACTTGGTTGGGATGTTCATTTGACTCATTGATTCGAATGGCTCGAACCCTCCATCTCAAATCATAAGAGTTAAGTTGAATTAAATTTTTTTTCGATTGCGTTGAATTTTTAAAAAACTGAATATTGGATTTGGTCCGAGAGTAGAACTTTGTTTATCAAGTCATCTCAACTCTCAGGGGTGTCCCATGTAAATGTTTAATATTTGAATTTTATGAAATTTTAGTCTCAACTTTAAAAATGGGAGATGGGTTGGATTAGGTGTGTACACCCTTAATTCTACGAAGATTATTAAGAAAAAATTAAATAAAAGAAGATGGTCCATTTTATTTGGTCGGAATGTTAAAAAGTATGGTATTGAGAGGTGAAAAAGGATTGAAAAGTATAGGAAAGCATATGATATGATTAGGTAATGAAATGAGAAAAAAATTGATTAGGGTTTGATAATAGTGAAATTATGTGTGTTTGGTGTAAGGAGTTAGGTAAGGAAATGGTTGATAATATGGGCATTACTATTGGTTGTGTGAAGAGAATAGAGGTGAAGAAGCACCAAACCAATGCCACTACAAATTGTCCTTATAAAAAGGCCCTCTCCAATCCCACAGGACCACTCCAATTTATTTCAATCTCTTCTCTTCTCTTCTCTTCTCATCATTTTTCTCTCTAAATCAATGGCCTCCCTCTTCTTCTCGATTGTCGTTGTTGTCGTCGTCGCTGCTGCCATTGCCACTGGCATGGCCGTGCCTGAACACGAGCACGACCGGATTACCTCCCTCCCTGGCCAACCGCCGGTCGCATTCTCTCAATACTCGGGGTATGTCACCGTCAACCAACAGCACGGCCGAGCTCTGTTCTATTGGTTGACAGAAGCAACGTCTCAACCTGAGAAAAAACCTCTCATTCTTTGGCTCAATGGAGGTATGTTACAAATTAAAACAAACCCTTTTGGTTTCCATCCATGTTCTTCAAAACTTCAACACCCACCCACTCTCTTATCTACAACCTTTGTCGTTGAATTTCTTCACGGGTAACCCATTTGAGCCATGAACTAAAATGCAGGCTATGGGATCTACATACATTATAGATATCAATTATTATAATATGATATTATATATTATAAAAGTCAGAAAGTTTTCAAAAGTTTTAAAAAAAGAGTGGTCTCTCTGCATCTCTCTCTCTCTCTCTCTACCTTATCTGAATCTGCAAGAAACCAAACCAACCCAGTTCTGAATTATGATGTGTCCTTAAGTTAAGGGCATTTAGGAGTTCATATCTACCAGATGCGCATGTTAGCAAGGAAGGCCTTGATCTTGCTAAAGTACGCCATATTCTGAAAAAGAGAGAGAGAGAGAGAGAGAGAGAGAGAGAGAGTATTATGGAGCATGCGTAGAGATAGAAGTGGGAATGAATCTGGGGAGGTCACTTGGTTTTGTGTTGTGAGGATTTGGAATGGAAAAAGGTTAGGCTTTTGAAAACATCAGACTCACTCAACAACAAAAAGGTCGAAATCAGCACTACTTTTGTTTTTGTTTTTGTTTACATACTCTGTTTCTCTCTCTCATGGATCTGTTTTGCCTCTTTTGTTTCTACGCCTAAATATAATATGCTTCTTTCCCTCTCCCTTTCTCTATCATGCTTTTTTTTCCTATCTTCTCTGCACTTATTCTCTCTGTGTGCTGCTCATCATGTCGCTTTTTGGGATTTTCAAACCTTTTTTTCCTTTTCTTTTTGGAGTCATAGGTCAAATGTCTTCACGTGTTAGTATTTGAACTTTTCAACATGGTTTCTCTTTACTTTACGTTGTGTTAATTTGATCACGAACTCCGTGAGTTTAATAACAATTGGGTGGAGGAATTCGAATTTCTGACCTCTTAATCAATAGTATATACAAACTTTATAGTTGACGAGAATTACTCGATTATGATGTATACAGGGCCCGGTTGTTCATCAGTGGCATATGGAGCCTCCGAGGAAATTGGACCATTCAGAATTGACAAAACTGCTTCTTCTCTTTACCTTAACAAATACTCATGGAACAAAGGTCATTACATACACGCACTTTCTTCTCTAATTCCTCTCTTTTAATCAAGATCTCATCACAAAGATACCATTTATTTCCAGATGCAAATCTGCTGTTTCTTGAATCACCTGCCGGAGTTGGATTCTCCTATACAAACACCTCCTCCAACCTTCAAGACACCGGCGACAACCGAACTGCTGAGGATGCTCTTATTTTCCTCATCCGATGGATGTTGAGATTCCCACAATACAAATATAGAGAATTCTACATTTCTGGGGAGAGTTACGCCGGTAAATCTATTCTGTCCATGTTTCGAATAGCTGAAAAGTATGTATAATATTTTTGACGTGATTCCATTTCTATAGGACACTACGTCCCACAGCTAGCAAAGAGGATTCTTGACTACAACAAAGCCAACTCTAACAACTTCATCAACCTCAAAGGCTTCCTTGTAAGAACAGAAAATTGTAGAACATGAGTTATTCGAAGTATTATAAGAAACAAGTGAATTGTAACAAGTTTTGAAAATGGCAGGTGGGGAATGCAGTAACAGATATGAACTATGATGCTCTCGGGACGGTGACGTATTGGTGGACACATGCTATGATATCAGATACAACATACAACTCCATCCTCACGCATTGTAATTTCACCTCAGACAAGACTTCCAAACCATGCGACAAGGTCATTTACTATGCCATGAACCATGAGTTTGGCAATGTTGATCAGTACAGTATCTACACTCCGAAATGCCCCATCGTGGTTCCAAACAACACGGTTTTTCCAGCAAGGGGGGCCGCTATTAGATTCAAAAACTCTCTTCTGAGGCGGAGGGTGTCAGGGTACGATCCATGTACTGAGAATTATGCAGAAAAGTACTATAATCTAAAAGAGGTTCAGATGGCTATGCATGCCAATGTTACTGGAATTCCCTACAAATGGACTGCTTGTAGGTGGGTTTTTGCTAGCTTTCTCTGTTACTTGGCCAAATCTTATAACATAACTCTTCCACCTAATAAGGTTTTGTTTTTCTTTTTTGGGTGGCAGCGACATTCTACTTAAGAACTGGAAGGATTCCCAAGATTCAATGTTGCTCACATACAAGGAGCTGATTGCAGCTGGTCTCAGGATATGGGTTTTTAGGTTAGTTTTGAAGTTCCCAAGTAAAAGAGAGGTTAAACTTATTCTATGTCATAGTCATGTGACCTTTACATGTGAAAAAATGCAGTGGAGATACAGATTCGGTGGTACCAGTGACAGCCACCAGATTCGCCCTCAACCATCTCAACCTTCCTATTAAAACTCGCTGGTATCCATGGTATTCTAGAGGACAGGTTACATATTTAAACTCTACCCTTTTTGTTCTTCGTTTGAATGAAATGCTTTAAACAAAATGAAATGGACATGGCAGGTCGGGGGACGGACAGAGGTTTATGAAGGGCTGACCTTTGCCACAGTGAGAGGAGCTGGACATGAGGTTCCATTGATCCAACCACAGAGAGCTTTGACACTTTTCAGAGCGTTTCTATCAGGAAAGCAATTGCCAAAATATTGATTTACCTGCAAAGAAACAGATCAATGAACAGAGACAAGAAACTGTTCGTTAGTGTCTCGTTTCTAGATACCTGTCATTAATTACCATAATTCCAGTACAGAACAGTGCTGAGAGTGAGCTAGAATTGTATTCATTCTACAATTAATATTGGATAGACCATGCCAATGTTATCGACCATTTCAAGTACGCAGATGACAAGGTTGAACTAAGATTATTTTACTAACGTTTGTTTTGATTGATTACCTTATGTCAAGTAGAAGTTTAAAGCCTTTTCTTTTCAAGAAATCAGATGTCCACATATTGTCAAATATCTTTTCCTTTCAACAAACCGAAATGATAGTCGATATCGCTTCTAAAGTAGATTCCAATTTGAAATCTCACTTTCATTTCATTCTTTTGATTCTTTGTTCTGATTCCACGATAAATATCATAGCTGTTTTTTTTTTTTTTTTTTTACATCTAAAGATGGAGAACAAGGTTCCCAAACATTTAGTTCACCAGTAAAAACTGATATGGAATTTCCTGTCAAGGTCAGATTACAATTACGTAGTCCCACTGCCGCTGCATTTACAAAACTGAAGCTCGACAGACATAAAAGGTTTTACTTCAATCCCTCACTTAGGCCTTGTGGCATACCCAAACTCTGGGCAAGATCACTCATTCTTTGCTTCATGGCCTGAGAATCAGAGGACCAACAGTCAGTTCTATAGATACAAAACTTGGAAATTAAATTACTAAGGAACAAGTCTTACCTGAACGCTCTTCTGATGTGCGTCCTGATATGCTTCAGTAACTAGAAGGGACAATTTCTGCATAAGAAAGTTAAGCTCTAAATAATTGGAATATCCATCATTAACCACAATCAGAAATCTTAATTACTATTGGAACAAATCTTAATGGTGTTAGTTGGGCTCGGGATAGGCTCGGTTGGAGGAGGTACTTCTAAATCCTCCTTTTAGAAAGAAGGGAAAATTTTTGTGGCATTCTAGTTTCTTTGCAAGTTTGTGGGATATTTGAATAGAAAGGAATAATAAAACTTTTGGAGTTGTTTATTTGGTTAAGGTCAAGTTCTTTTTCTTGGGGCCTGTTTATTCATACGTCCATAAATATTCTTTAATTTCTCTCAATATGGTGTCTTACCTAACAACAACAACAACAAAAAAAAAAAAAAAAAAAATCCTAGCACACAATTTTTACAATGTTACTGTCAACAATATTCTTAAATATAATTAGGGTTGTCAACTTATTTTTTAGCCATGTTCCAAAGCAAGCGGACCCTAGTCCTATAGGCCAGCCAATTTTCAAACTCATGAGGTGTTAGTCATGATTCCACAAGACAAACATTGAAGAGGATATACTCCAAATATTCTTTAATTTCTCTGTGAAAGTGTGGTTTCTTACTCTACAACAACAAAAGAAAATTCCTAGCACACAATTCTTACAATGTTACTGCCAACTATATTCTTAAATATAATGATGGTTGTCAATTTATTTTTGAGACATGTTCCAAAGCAGGCGGACCCTAGTCCTATAGGCCAGCCAATTTTCAAATTCATGATGTGTTAGTCATGATTCCACTAGGCACAAACATTGAAGAAGATATCTCCAAGCTTAGATTGAGGACAGGACAGGTAGTGCAGCATTAAGGAGTGACTTGAGGATGTAAATATAAGTTCAATATAAGAATGCTATTGCGAGCAATGCAATTTCAAATGTTAGAGTGCATCACATCATTGTGCATACTCACTTCTGGTCCTAATTTCATTGCAGCCTCAGTGATCTCTGTCCGAAGAGGTTGCTGATTTCCGGATAATGTCACCTAAATTAGTTGACAAAAAATATGAAAGCAGATATGATGTGACATGGAAACATGATATGATCCCATTCTTTAGCATCATAATTCTCATCAAATGAAAAGGCCATGTCCAGCCTCGCATGAACCCAATTGTCAAACCCATAACCTTTTGTCCCGAGCTCAATACTTCTTTGATCATTTTCATAAATCATGATTCTCTCTTTTGAAATTCCCTAAACTTTTCTTATCAAGAAAAACAAAATCACTTCATTTTCTATGTCCATGGGGATGAACGCTGGAACTATCAATTGATCCTACACATATTTTATAACAATTAATATCTGAGGGAGATGGCCCCAAGAGATTTTAAGTCCACATCGACCAGGTTGAATATTGGTAATCACAAAACAAGAAAGAAAAATTGGATTCACTTATCATCTTAAAACAAGAAAGAAAAATTGGTAATCACAAACTCAAGATGATAAGTAACACCTACAACAAACGCAATATTAATAAAAACAAGTATCAGGTATCTGTACTTATTTACTAATTACTAGCCACCTAAAATCAAGAGGTGAAAAGTATTTTACAATCTTAAGCAAAATTCTAACACACGTTCACTTCACAAACAACCATTATAATCCCATAGTTATGGGCAAAGTGAAAATGAACTTGATGCAAAAGAGAAAGGCTGAACATACCTTTATTAGCTCTCCTTCGCAGTAGCCATCAAACTCTGCCCTGTAGAACAGAAACATAGAAGGAAAAAAAGTTCAAACTTCAAAAAACAGAGAAACATCTTCAAGTGACAATACATCTATTTAGCTTGCTTAGTCATACACCGCAAGTTCCTTTTGTACGCGCACTGCCTCTACTTGGACAACCTGTTGCGCTGTCCTCACAGTCTCATATAACTTCTGCATGTTTCCAAAGATTCCTGCCTACAAAAAGTTGGAATGTAAGAAACGATAGTCTCACTTGGCTATCAAGGAGAAGTCACTTACAGTCCCTCAACTTTGAGAGACATTTATATTTGGTCTCTAAATTACTGAAATGACAATTTTATTGTGCATGGTATCAAAACTTATACAGTTTAATCATATTGCAAAACAAAATTCTACCTTTGAAGGTGCATCATCGCTCTTCTCCTCGTTCTCCTTTTTCCCTCCAAATAGGCCACAAACACAAAGAGATCTATTATTTTTCTCAACTTTCCAAGGACCATAAGGTGAGATCCGAGTGCCAATTATTTTTGACATTGAATTAAGGTTACCTGTAAGAGGCAGCCAGAAAAGGATAAATTAAATATTAATAGGTAATGTGTACAATCAAATATCTCAAAAAGTGGACTTAATCTACAATTTCAGAATGAAAATTTGGAAATAAACGAGGACTTTGCAGCTACACACAAATTTCTATTGCCCAAAGTATTATATTCGAAATTATAAAAATCGAACCACTAAATTCCAAGTCATACAACGTTAATATCTAGCTTGTTAAGAGTTATAATGAAGTAGACGGGATTTATTCAATTCTGACATTCACATTATCAGGTATGCAACCGGCTTCAGCCTAGGCTACAACTCACCGGTTCATGCAATTCCTTTTCTATGAACAGTTTTTAAGGTGGATAATCTTGCAGTTGAACCTGGTGCTAAAGAGTTTTGAGGCTTATCCAAACTTCGTTAAGTTTCCAGACCACATCCTTTTTCTTTCATAATCTTTATACAAAACTGTGGACATACGCATCTGCCATCAAGTTCATGTGAATCGAATCTCTCATTCATCAATCACACATTTATTTTGATTTTACAAAGCAAACAATAATTCCTAATAAGAAATGAGCCAAACCCATTCGATAATATGCACTGAGGACACCACCAGATAGCTTTATTTTAGGTCTAAACTTCAAGCGAACGGTAAATCTTCCCAATGAACTACGCCATACCAACCAACCGCACCAACTTAGATCCCTCCGTTTGATTGAGTGGTTGTGAGATAGCTACGTAACATACAATACAGATCCAAGTTCCAAACAACCACTTCTATTCAGAGACATAACAATCAATCTCAAATATAGTCCTCAATTTCCTACTGTCTAAGCAACCAAAAGAAAATGAAAAGTTTCAAATGGTGTACTAACTTCGTTTTTTCCAATCAGAAATTCCTCGCAGATTTGGTACTTGAGCACTGATTGAAATTGTCGATGCCATTGCCCAAAGCTGTGAATGTGCCGAGGAGAAACTCGAGAGGATAAACTATAAAGTAGATTTTCGCCTCGGAGAACCACGCCCAAAAGCCCCAAACATCACCTGCTGCATATATTTCGTGAAGACAGACCAATGAACAAATTCCACGTGTTTTAATATAAAATATGTATCTTTTCTTTGGTGGCTAAATTATAAAAAAGTAGCTCTAATGTGATTTTTCAAACTCTCAATAGATTTCTTATCAAACCTATATTTTATCGCTTAAACATAAATTTTTTTCTTTTACTAAAGACTCGTGTTGGGATTCGAAATTTAAATTTGACATCTAATAGCTTCAGCATTCCTTGCAGCATAATTCCGTTACTTATTTTTAATTTTTAAGAGTGAAAACTATCCCAACAAACAAATACGCTTCTAGGTCCTCACTTGCACTAATTATAGAAAAATACAAAGGAGATCACCCAATATAAAATTGTTATAGGTAAAATATGCTTAATTATGAAGTTTTTGTAACTGGGCTACTAAAAAAAGATGATTTTAAATTCTTTTTATGTTTTTTTAGTCATCCAATATTCAAAATCTCTCTTATTTGTATGTGGGCTCGGTTCAATCAAGCACCCCTTGTGTATCAGTTTCTTTCGTAACTTTTTAAAAGAACAAAAAAAAAAAAACATTCCAAAATTAAGAATGGAAAAAGCTCGTTAGATTTAAGGTAGAGTTATACAAGATTGAAATTTAGGTTTTACGTTGAATACTCATATTCAAATTAGAGCGGTTAACATGTGCATAGCTTAACTGATTAAAGTAAGATTCTATCGGTTAAAATTCTTGTATTGAACTAAAAGGAACTAATAGTTTACTCTTAACTTTTCAGTAAAAGAAAGCCAAAAACAGAGAAAAAAATTGTTGCAGATGAGGAAACCAAGCCTTATCAGTAAGGCAGCTTTTCTTCTGTACCCTTCTTTCAGTGTCTGTAAACCAGACCAAATATCAAGGCCATGTTATGTAATTTATAATCATCTCTCATAAATACCAAACCATGACTGGTTTTGTAATTATTTCTCAATTTTTTTTTTTTTTTTTTTACTTCTCAAATCTACTAATAATGTATTTTTATTTTACTTTTATTAGATTTTTCATTAAAAAATATGTTAAATTTATTAATATAAAGTTGTTCTATCCTTACATTATTGTTTTAATAAGTAGACATGTAGGCTTACGACTTGGACATCATACGAGAAAGAAATGGAGTTTTATCGATGAACAATTAGTTGAGTTTAGACATCATAAGAGGAAAAAATAGGCTTTTGTTAATGACCGAGTTGGGCGCGTATCAAGTGGCATATTCACGTGTCAAAATACATTAATAAACTTTTTTTTAAAGAATAATAGAATTCGACTAATTTTAAGTTTTAACTTTGGCTAAGAATATAGTTAAATTGTTATAAAGCTAAAAGTTTTTATTCTATTTTAATAGTTAATAGCATTTGATGTAACGTGCTTATTAATGCATTTAACTATTTGCAAGTCATACTATCATGTTCAAACCATATCCATTAACAATATAACTTTTAAGGTGGGTTAATGCTTTTTTATTGAAATATTTTTCTAAAAAATCATACTCAAATGGGTAAAAAAATAAGTAAATTTATGGGTCACTTCAAATTGATTTTAAAGGCATAATTTAAAAAGGAGAAAAAAAATGATCATAGTGAAAAATGGGTAGAATGGGTTTTGGAACCAAATTAGAGAAGAAAATGGGGTTTCAGTGCTAATCTCCTTCAAACAAAACCGTCACCACTCCCATTCATTTCATTGGATGGGGAAAAGAGTAAGCATTCTCTATTGAATTTACCACTATACCCCCCACACCAAACCAGATGCACTTTGGGGGCAACTTGGTCTTTTTTGCCACTAGGTTTGAGACTTTGAGTCGAGGGGTTAAAAGGTTAGAAGAAGAAAAGGGCAGAGCAGTAGGGGTATTTTAGTAGTTTCACGTACATTGACCTGTTGTTTTAAGAAGAAGAAAAATAATAATAATGGGAAATGGGTAAAAGCAGCTTCCTTTTCTTGGTTTCTGATTCATGAATGTGCAGAAAAAAAAAAAAAAAAGGTTATGATGATGAAAGAAAGCAGCAGCGCAGCAGCATCACACAGGGAAACAGCGGTGGTTAGTCCCTGGTGGCTGGTCCTGCCCCCCACCCCCAACACAGCAAAAGAAAAAAAGCCCTATGAAATAAGGTACCCTTCCGTTTCAACAAAACCAGCCCCTTTCTCTCTCTCTCTCTCTCTCTAGAAGTCTAGATTGATCTGTCATTGCAGAGAAAATCAAAGGGGTGGGGGGAAGAAACAGAGAAACTCCACGCAGCGCAGCGCAGCCCTTGAATGACAAGGAAGAGTGTTTACTTTACCATTACCACCCAATCCTCTCTATCTTGATACCCTTTAATGACCCAGGTGGACCAAAATTTATGGAGAGGAGAAGAAAAACAAAAAGGGAGGAAAGAAGGAAAGAAGGAAAGAAGGAAAGAAAGAAAGAGAGCGTTGGTGGAAGGAAAAGAAAGCGAAGAGATGGATAGATATGTCTTCTTCTAACCAAACCCCCACCTCACAAAGAAACACACAAACTCGCATTAAAAATGCCTCGCTCTTCCCTCAATTGCCCTTCTGCAACCCCCAAAAAATCCCCATCTTCATCACTCTCTCTGAAGAAACACAACAATATTTTTCACCGAGTTATGTGGGCTTTTTTGGGTTTTAGTTGTTGGCTCGGTCAGAGCTTCACAGAGAAAACAGGAAACCAAGAACCTTCACCCCCCCCCC